TATAAATATAATATAAATTATCCTTAAATCCATAATCTAGTTAACTTTAGATAAATAGATTGCTCAATACATCAACTTACCTGAGTTGCTTTGCATAGCTGAGTTCAATCTCTGTCCTTTCCTTTACAAATTTAATGTATTTCTCAAGAATATCAATTCCCCACTGGGTGTGTTTTTCAAGGTTGTCAAACTGATCCTGTGGAAAAGGGAAAGTGAGCATTTACAGTCTTTCTCTTATGATTAAAGTTATTTCAACGAGCAAGTCTCCCAACAATATATTTCTACATACATAACACTAATATTTTCCATGATTGTACTGGGGTGCTTTTTTGTTGAGCAGTTTTAAATAAACATTACCAAATTAGGTTCAAAAACTGCCTGGAGAAATGAACTCTGACCCATGAGTTCATCTTCCATATTTCTACTAGAAACATGGTTTTTTTAAAAAATAACATTAACATCCTAGTGCAAAGAAAATGTCCTTTCCAGATATCAAAAATTGAGAGATGAAACACACACAGGTACAACAAACTCAAAGTACTAAGACCTAAATTATAATTGCCGGGCAATCAATAAAACCTGCTGAGTGAAAGTTAGGGCAAGGGAGTAGGAAGACCTTTTTCTCAAGTTGGAAGGTTTAGCTTTCTTCAAAACAAGAGAGTAAAATAACTTAGTGGTCTTTATTTATTCAAATGCCTCGAACATGGTATACAATATGTGCCATGAATGGTGCTTGAAACGAGAACTAAAATGAAGAGCAGCAGCCTGCAGAGTGCCTTGAGCTTTCTTATCGGGAAGAACGGAGAGGCCAGCATTCCAACAGCAGGAAGTGCAGAGATGTGGAGATGTCCAGAATCATGTGGATTTGATCAACTGATCACAGGGTGATAGTGGGGGAGGGCAAGGTGCAAAGGCATGGGCCGGTTTTAAGCAACGAGACTAGAAACAACCAACAGCGAGATTACCTAATGGCCCAAATGTCCGTCTAGGAGCTCGGACTCTGGCAGGTTCATACGAGCCACTAATTTATAAGAGATGTAACATGATTCTTTTTCTTCTAGTCAGACCTGACTCATAGCTGACCCACCAGCAGGTTTTCAGAGGCTGTAAATCACATGGGAGCAGACTGTTCATCTTTCTCCTCCTACTGATTTTTTTTTTCCTCCTACTGATTTTAACCACTGACCTTTGGGATGACAGTGCAACTTCTGACTCACTAGACTACCATAGCTCCTTGACATGACTATGAAAACGCTTAGAATCACTAAGAAATGAAAGCCAGGAGATTGTTCCAACAGTTTCCATGAGTGAAAAAGAGGTTGCAAAATGAAAAGATTCTACAGACACTTGAAGAAACCACTTGCTCTTTTCTACCACTGACTAATGTGCCTAGCTAGGGTTTATTTAGATCTTCATTTTAAGTCTGACATTGTGAAACGACTCTATTTTCTATTCATGAACAAACAGTAAACACTGAAGACAATCCCCTAAACTTGGTTAAGAAAGGGAGAAAAATACAACAATGAATAAATGGAAATCCAAAATCTCTGTAAATGTTCATTAAAATTAATAAAATAAAATTAAAAATTAAAAAAAAGTTACTGATAAAAATACCCATTGTTTCTTAAAGAAGCTCTCTTCTGAAGAAAAAGAATTTTCTCCCCCCCGCCCCCTTAAATTAAAAAAACAAACTAAAGAAATTAAGGTGTTACTTTACTAGGATAATACTCTTTTTTAATTTAAATTTTTTATTAATACTTGAACAAAAGTTTACAGAAAACTTAGATTTCCATTCATTCATTTTTGCACATTTTCCTCCCTAACCCCCCTTACTAGGATAATTCTAAAGTTAAAAATAATTATAAGTTTGTACTTTAAATGAAAATTTTAAAATGTTAAAGGATAAAGGACAAAAATTTAAACTTCTTATTGATTCACAGGCCTTCAATAACATAATTCACAAACTCTGATTTCATTTCAAGAAATACTGGTCCGGCTGTTTGTACTATCTACAAAGAAGAGAGCTGTTAAGCAAATAATGTTGTTAGCCTGGCTCACGGCAGCCTCAAGCCCAGTGAGACAAATGGTCAGCCAGTCCTACCACAGGGTTTTCCTCAACTGATTTTGACAAATCACGGAAACACCTTTCCCCCTACTTCATCTTAGTGTGGAAGCACCATTGACCAAAGGGTGGAAATGTCCATGAGGGTCACTGACTAAAAATGGAATCTCGGTCTCCCTTGTTGTTGTTGTTGGAACAACAATGTTCTGATAGCTGAAATTCCAGCGAGTTTTCAGAGATAGTTAACTGGAGAAAACTGCCCATCTTCTTCCATAAAGCAGCTGGTGGCCTCAAGAATTCTACTACTTGGGGAGCTCTGGTGGCCTAGTGACAAGAAGCAATGCTGCAATCCCAAAGGCACTGCAACCCCATAGGCACGTGGTTCGAATCCACCAGATGCTCCACTGGAGAAGACGACACAATCTCCTCCTGTGCCAGCTGGATCCAATTCGAAGGTACACAACAAAGGGGAGGGGGAGGAGGAGGGGGAAAAAGAATTCTACTACTGATCTACCAGGAGCCTTTAAACAAGATTCTAAACATTCTGAAACTATCTAGGAGTAGGGAGATGCAAATGTTTCATATAAGGATTATAAATCATCCTTATCTATTTAGAGCAAAGCTTCTCTAAAGTCTTCTGCTAACCAGGAACCTTTTGTTGATCTAGATGGTGCCACCTACCACTACCAGGTGCTTTGATCACTATCACAGGAGAAGATCCTGGACAGAGTGGAAGACAAATGCTGAACAGAATCATTAAAATGACCAGACTTCTTGGCCTCATAGAGATGGATGGAACCTCTGAGACTCTGGGTTTTCAAACCCAGAACTGGAAGGAACTGGAGAATCAGCTTTCAGTCAAAACAGCACACAGGCTTAGAAAGGAAGCAGGGACACCTGGGAGAAGTATGTGTGTATGCTCTTTGCAACACTCAACCAAACAAAAACAACAGGGCAGAATTTGCCTAAAAGCGAAGATCCAAGCCAAGAGAGGAGGAAGAGAGCTATTAACTGAAGGGATTACAACAAACAAACTTGCTCTGTAAATTTTCACCCAAACCACAATAAAATTTTTAAAAAACCCAAACCCCCCAAAAAGCTCCTACTGGCCTCAAGCCAAAAGTATGTTTTCAATAAAGTTATCTGTATTCAAGAACAATCTGCAGGCTATAATAAAGCACTTACTCAAACAACAAGGTCTAACTAAGACAGATCTTAACAATAAAACTCTTCCACTGTAACACATAAATCAGTACGCGTGTGTGTGTTTGTGTGTGTGCTGTGTGAACGTAGCATAATTCTTTTTATGTAATATTAAAGCTTCTCTGGTGATGCCAAACCCCGCTGCTGATGTCACACAAATCACTTCAGCATGGACTCTCCTGACAGCAGGGAAAAGAAAACTCAAAACAGATGAAAAACTCATCAGCGTACTTACATTCTTGACAAAAATGTGGAAAACCTAATGAAAAAAAAATCTCTAATTTTAAAGACTCCTTTGTAAGCAAATATCACAAAATAGTCTTTTTTTTAAAAAAATAGCCTTTACTCCTCTGGGGATGACACCAATACCAAAAAAATGCATTCCTTCCTGTCTGATGCCACCTGACCCTGTTCTCAAGACTCTTTTGCCCTCTTAAAATTAATTAAGAAACCCACTTAATAATTGTTTAGGTTAAATCTATAAATATTTACTCTTTCAGAAGTTAAAACTGTTGTTGTTGCAACTCATAGCGACCCTATTTACAAAAGCCCTAAACCCTGCTCTAGCCTGTGCCAATCACATTGCCTCTGACACACCCATCCGGATTACCCCAGTCACTGAATCAATCCATCTCATAGAGGGTCTTCCCCTCTTGCACCATCCCTCCACCCTCCCAAGCATGATGTCCCTCTCCAAGGACCTGTTCCTCCTTGCAACATGTCCAAAGTATGTCAGACGAAGCCCCAGAATCCTTGCCTCCAAGGAGTAGCTTGGTTTAACCCTCTCCAGGATGAATGTTTGTTTTCTTGGCAGTCCATGGTACATCCAACACCACAGCTCAAAGGCATCAATTCTCCTTCTGTCCTCCCTAGTCATTGTCCACATTGTCCTTATTTTTTGCTATTTCCTTCAAAGTAGCTTGAACTTCTTCCTTCATCACCATAGGCTCTTGCTCATATGTTATTTCATTAAATTCTTGTGTATCTGCCAATTCCTTTTGATACAATGACTCAGTATATTCCTTCCATCTTCTTTTAATACTTCCTGGATCATTTAATATTCTGCCCAAAGCATCCTTGATTATAGCAACTCTAGGTTTGAATTTGTTCTTCAGTTCCTTGAGTTTAAGAAATGCTGAACGAGTTTGGCCCTTTTGATTTTCCGACTCTAGCTCTTCGCACATTTCATTGTAATATTTTGCTTTGTCATTCCAAGCTGCCTTTTGGAATCTTCTGTTCAGCTCTTTAGTATCTTGAATTCTTCCCTGTGCTTTGGCTTCTCTACGCTCTAGTGCAAGCTTCAGAGTTTCTTCTGACATCCATTTTGGTCTTTTCTTCCTCTTCTTTCTAATGACCATCCTCCCACAACTCATCTGGTCTTCACTCATTAGTGTTCAAGGCTTCAAACCTGTTCCTGAGATGATTCTGAAATTCAGGTGGGATGAAATCAAAGTCATATTTTGGCTCCTGTAGATTTGGTTTACTTTTCCTCAGTTTCAGCTTGAACTTGCATATGAGTAGTTGGTGGTCTGTTCCACAATCAGCTCCTGGCCTAGTTTTCACAGCTGATGAAATTTTATTAATTAATTTAAAAGGACAATGATAAATCCACTGCATGTTAACACATATTACATACTTTTATCTTTACACGTTTTCTTTCAAAAACATAGCAAGAACTGTGACTGGTTTACATGTTATGCAAGTCTTTTCAGTGTTTGAATTAATAGAAACCAGCTGGGTTCTTATAGGTGCTTTTGCACTCAATCTGTTATCATTTCAGTTAAAGACTAAAAGGGAGGGGAAATCTGACTTTGTACACAAATATAGTTAGAAAAATGTGGAGTGTTTCATTAGCTTTTTGAGTTAATTATAGTTTTCTTTGCTACCAAAACGAAATGTGACAATAGATTTGTAAAGGTTAATTT